ATTTTGGATCAGAGTTTACGCCCTTCTCCGCAATATGTTTCACACAGACATTAAGCGCAACCCGTACGAAGCGCTGTTATTTAAACCATTAGTGGGCCTACTTCACCCCGAACGGCAGCTGGCATCGCACTTATTCATGGCCCACCAAGCTGACGATTGCGAGGGCTTGGAAGACTCCCTCCTCAGCTTCGAGGCTGTCAAAAACCGGATGAACTTTATCATGGTCAACGAAAAGTTGACAGCTATACTGGTAGACACCCATACAAAATTTTTACAGACATGGCGTCCTTGGCGTGATATAGCTTAACCGTCGAGATTCGACCAGTCCTTCTTGTCGATATAAACCTTATATACCAGTTAATTTTTTTTTCTCTATTTCTTTTTCCTCTGCTGCGGTCCCCCTGGAGCCCCCCCTTTTTTTTTTTTTTTTTTTTTTTTTTTTTTTTTTTTTTTTTGTTTGTCGTCTTTCTCTTCGCTCTTTTTTTTCTTCTTGTCTAGTCTGTCTCTTCAGGCTCTCTGTGCTGATTGTGATTCCTGCTTTGAGCCCCGCACCAACAACACTGCATCCATGTGCTGTACTCCTTAGAGCCCTGCGTGTTAAGTACCTCTCTGTATTCTGAAATGTTCCTTCTTCTATTCCTCTCGCATTCTGTATGCAGATACAGTAATAATCGTTACTTAGAGTTCATTATGTTATTGGTCTCTAAATGTCTATCATTTCTGAAATTTATTGTGTTTTCTTCCTATACGGCACTTATGTACGCAGTTTACTTTCATGCTTTCTCATCAGTACATATTCTGTAATATTCATCGAATCCTTTGTATGTTATATTCCTGCTGGTCATTGCATATGTTTTTGACTGATTCTCTGCTGTTTCCTATTCTATAATAAAATTCTTTGTAAAAGAAATCCAACAGTCATGACATGCATGCTGCTGATTCTGTGTAATTGAATCACTAATTGAAAGGGGCACGTTCAAAATAATAGCAGTGTGGAGTTCTATTAGTGAGGTCATTCATTCTTTGAAAAACAGGTGGCAATTATTGCTCTTATTTAAGGAAGGAAGGCAGCAAATGTACATGCTGGTTACAGTCCATTTCTCTCTGAAATTCTGAGGAAAATGGGCCGTTCCAGACATTGTTCAGAAGAAGAGCGTACCTTGATTTAAAAAGTTGATTGGAGAGGGGAAAACATATAAAGAAGTGCAGAAAATGAAAGGCTGCTCAGCTAAAATGATCGCAAATGCTTTAAAATTGCAACCAAAACCTGAAAGACGTGGAAGAAAGCAAAAAACTACCATTCAAATGGATAGAAGAATAGCCAAAATGGCAAGGACTCAGCCAACAATCAGCTCCAGGAAGGTCTAAAGAAGGTCTAGAAGACACCTATGTGAAGCCAAGCTATCTACAAGAAGCCCCCGCAAAGTCCCACTGTTGAAAAAAAGACGTGCTGAAGAGGTTACAATTTGCCAAAGAGCACATTGACTGGCCTAAAGAGAAATGGCGCAACATTTTGTGGACTGATGAAAGTAAGATTGTTCTTTTTGGGTCTAGTGACCGGAAACAGTTTGTCAGACGACCCCCAAACACTGAATTCAAGCCACAGTACACTGTGAAGACAGGAAAGCATGGTTGCGCAAGTATCATGATATGGGGATGTTTCTAATAGTACGGTGTTGGGCCTATCTATCGCATACCAGGGATCATGGATCAGTTTGAATACATCAGAATACTTGAAGAGGTCATGCTGAAGAGGAAATGCCCTTGAAGTGGGTTTTCCAACAAGAGACAACGACCCCAAACACACCAGTAATCGTGCAACATCTTGGTTCCAGACCAACAAGATTGACGTTATGGAGTGGCCAGCCCAATCCCCAGATCTTAATCCAATAGAAAACTTGTGGGGTGACATCAAAAATGCAGTTTCTGAGGCAAAACCAAGAAATAGAGAAGAACTGTGGAATGTAGTCCAATCATCCTGGGCTGGAATACCTGTTCACAGGTGGCAGAAGTTGGTTGACTTCATGCAACACAGATGTACAGCAGTTCTCAGAAACAGTGCTTATACAACTAAATATTAAGTGATTCAAAGAAAGCAAAATCTTCAAACATTTTTCACTTTATATAGTGAATGTTTGAGTTTGTAAAGAAGAATACAAACACTATTTTTTGGAACAGTCTAATAGTCACTTTTCTTCAATTTTTTTTTAGAGGAACACAAATTTGATATATTTTTCTTCATGTTTTGATTTGGAATAGAATGTGTAGTGTTCCCAATGCATTTTGTGTATGGAAATAAAAGCTATTAGATGGATTTTGAGCTTTATTCACTTTTTTCAACACACTGCTATTATTTTGAACACAATTGTATATTCCTAGGTGTGTTCTGTATACCAACTGTGTACAGAACACATCCAGGTTGCCATATTGCATTGAATTGGACATTGCAGGGCTATCCTGGAAGTAACTTTCAGGGACTGGGTTCAGCGTAAGGCTATTTTGTTAACTTAACCAATCTAGAGAACTGCCTTCATCCACGGAGTTTTGTGCGCTCACGCTCTTTCTACCACCATTCAGCATTGAGAAATCATCTCCCCACTGCTGCTTCTGCGATGCAACAAGCTACACCCATATACTTTCCGTTTCTACTTCATGCCTACAGTAACTTTGGTCAACTCTGGCCATCCAAACCTTACTGGCTACCAGTTACTTGGCTTTTGGCAATGCCTGAGGCCTTGCCTTGTATACTGAGCCTTAGCTGGTTTATCACAAGCTGGTGCAACATTTCTGTTTCGAGGCAGAGGGAACAATCGCACTGCAACAGCTCACACTCCCTTATCTGTTCATGGATATTTGTTCCATGCCTTTTGAAGGTATTAATGTCTGTATTCTGGAGTCATAGGGTGTAACTGCTCATTGAGGTCGGGGTCTCTACTACTGTCATGCAAGATTTTGTGGGCCAATTCATCTAGTTACCTGCTGACTCTGACTGCAGAAACTTTAAGTGTGCTCCTGCAATTTTTATCTGCAGAATCTATTGCAACTTCAGCTGGGGTGACCTGCTGGAAGGATCTCTGCTTGTCTCCTACTGTATATGGTTCTAGTACACATGTGCGGAGCACTCTGGTTAAAGGACAGGACTGTGGTCTGCATCCAAGGAGCACCCAATCAGCACAGTGAGGGACATTTCTTTAAATCAGGGGTCTCCGAGCTTTCTTACCAAGGGGCTAATTTACTGTCCTTCAGGCTTTAGGAAGGCTGGACTGTGGGCAGTGGGAGCAGAAAATTGCCCGGCATCAGTGGTCCATCATTGGTTGTAATGGGGGGAATAGTTCCCCATTGTTGATATCAATAAGAAGAAGAGTACCCCATTGATGGTATCAGTAGGGGGGAATGGTACTCTAACATTGGTGTCAGTTGGTGGAATAGTGACCCAAGGGCACTACATCCAGCTCCTGGGCCGCAGTTTGGAGACCACTGCTTTATACCAACCATTGACATTATTAAGGATTTCACTGGAGACCAGATCATTCACTTACTCCAGCTAAGAAGTCTAAAGACAGGTCTAATAAGTCTCCTCCCTCTCTTTCCGCTACTCCTGGAATATGCATGTCTAGGCCTCCCAAACATGCTTCTCTGGCCTCCCGTAAGGCCTGAGCTAAGATGCCTGCTAAACCCACAGGGAAGTATCTGTTGACATGAAAGTGTGCTTCCACATTACAAAGTGGGGGGAAGACTGTTAATCCTTGCAAACTCCTGGGTGGTTTGCCCTTCAAACACTTTGGTGCAGAGTGATTTTTCTAGACTAATTAGCCTGGACCTTCAGATCCTCTACATCAACTTTCCTGTGTTACTGCACAGATTAGCAGACCTACCTCTTTCCTTTAGGAGTCTCCTGGACTAAGGAGTCATTGATTAGCACCTGTATTCTGACTTTTCAGTCTTGCATCATGCCAGGCTGCTGACTCAAGTGTTGGTGCTAGTGCTTTCTCATGGCATCCCCATTGTGGGAAACCTGGGCAACCTCCTATGGAAAGATCAGGGGGCGTGCTATTGGGAAGAGTCTCCCTAATCATCTGGATGTTTTTCAGTTGGCTCCTGTGTCTTTAGAAATTGCCAAAATCTTTTTGTTGCCCACAGGCAGCTCAAACCAGAATGTTTCTTCCTTTTTAGGTGAATTTACAAGGTATTCACTCCTATGACCTTCTACCTCAGTCAGCTAGTTATTAGTCTTTTCAGCTGTTACAGAAGAGTGGTGTGTTCGTGAGTAACTCTTTTCAAGCTTCCCATTTTTCTGCATTTTCTTCCCAGACTGTCTCAACTCTTCCCTCTTCTTCTGTTGTGGACAAGTTGTCAAGTTTTTGAACAGACCAAGTTGTCTGTCCCTTTTTGGATTGGGTAGTTCCTGGCCTGGTGAACTAGTCTTCCATTTCTGGGGTTGAAGAAGTTTTCTTTATCCCTTTACCAGGCCAAACAATCTAAATCCAGTTGTACAATACCCCCAGTTTATATACTGTGCACATTGAGCCTGTTGGCTGTTGCCCACCCTTCAGCTGGACTGCTTCTAGATGTCCTGAAGGTGAAAGATTTTTGTGTCCCTTGGCAGATGATACAGAAAATAGGATTTTTTTGTATGTACCATAAAATCCTTTTGTTTGAGTCCATTGAGGGGCACAGGTCGCACCCCTTTGTGTTTTTAATCGCGCTCTTTATACGGCTTGCTACAAAACTGAGGCATGCTGGTAGTAGGAGGGATTATCGTGGACTAGTTTCTACTGCTGCCTACAGATCTTCTGTAGTAATCTGAAAGTGACAGGCCTCCTGTATCTTCACTGATCTGACTTCAGTAAACTGAAATCTGATTGATTACTATAGTATAATGTACTTTTTAGATTTGCTCTGCTTTTAGTTACTATGCATTTTCTAGTTTTTTTGGATTCAGAAATAAGGGAAGCTTGGCAAGCCTCACCCAGTTGTCATATAACTTATTTCCATTACAGTGCTGCTGCAAATTGTGCTAAGGAAGTGTCAGAAAACCTGAAAAGTATGCTAGCTACCCCTGCTCACCTGAAACACAGAAATGGTAAGTGACACTGAAACAATTCTTGTTTAAAGTAGTTTTAAGATATAAGGAGATAGTGAAGGAAATAAGTATTTGATCCCCTGCTGAATTTGAATGTTTGCCCACTCACAAAGAAATGGTCAGTCTAAAAATTGAATGGTAGGTGTATTGTAACACTGAGAGACAGAATAGCAACAAAAAATTCAAAAGAAATGCATGTCTAACAAATGATGCACTGATTTGCATGTTCATGAGGGAAATAAGTATTTGATCCCCTTCACAAAACATGACTTAGTACTTGGTGGCAAATCCCTTGTTGGCAATCACAGAGGTCAGACGTTTCCTGTAGTTGGCCACCAGGTTTGCACACATCTCAGGAGGGATTTTGGCCCATTCCATTTGAAGGGGATCAAATACTTATTCCCCTCATGAACATGCAAATCAGTGCATCATTTGTTAGACATGCATTTCTTTTGAATTTTTTTGTTGCTTTTCTGTCTCAGTGTTACAATACACCTACCATTCGATTTTTAGACTGATCATTTCTTTGTGAGTGGGCAAACATTCAAAATCAGCAGGGGATCAAATACTTATTTCCTTCACTGTATATCTATCTATCCTACCTATCTATCTTCACACATTGAGCACAGTAAAATAAACATTTCCCTCTATTTACCTGAACTTCTACTCTTCATGAGAAAGTGAACAGTGATGTTTAGAGTCAGTCTTTTGAGAAGTTTGGAGGAGTGAGGAACAGGGGAATGCTTTGCCATCCTAGGCTAAATGGGGCTGTGTGCTTCTTTCAATGTACACATTGAAAGCATAATTCTATGTGCTCCCTGTATGCAACTAAAATGCTGCAAGAGAAAGCAGCCACCTAGAAATGGGAAGCCTGGGGCAGCGGTCATGGCACCAGACTAAACTGGAACATAGGCATGAATTAAAAGATAGAGACTGCAAGCTGCATCCTCAGTAAGTGATTAAATCAGCTGCTGAAACTGCTTAAAAACTAAGGATTTAATATCACTTTAATAATGTAAAGAAAATAGAACCCAAAATTAGGAATGAGATATGTAAACGTGAGAAAAACCGTGATGAGGATGTTGTCCAGCAACCAGCATAGCAACCAGCAAGATTTCATTCTCCAAACCAACACTTAGAAAATCTAAATAATTACACTGGAAAATTACAAATGTCCATCAAATACAGCCACTAACATTCTCTAGCAGGCTTGGGTTAGAGAATATGAAAACAAACTGGTTACCCTGGAAAAAAAATTTCAACATGCTATAAAGGACCGCTAATTCTAATCCCCAGCAGTCCTAAAACTTAACCTAATCAGTAACCGTCCCCTAGCACTCACCTTAACCTTACACACTAAATGAACACTCTGGATCACACTGGTGAGGCTTTGAAATTGTGTTACTTCAGCGTGATTTCAAAGCCACACATCAGTGCAATTTGCACTGCCGATTTCATTGTGACTTCATATAACAAAAGTCTATGCAAATCGCAATGAAATTTGCAAAAAGTAGTGCAGGAATTTTTCCCATAATCACTGCGACATGAGTCCCGGTGATATGAATGCTTTCAGTGCTGGCAGCGTGGTGCGACTTGTCGTGCGATTTGTAACTATCAAAACACATGACAAGTCACACCAGTGTGAACGGGGGCTTAAAGTGGACCTCTCAGTAATTGCCTTATAAATTCTTGTTGTGACGCCATATACAGCTATGGGATCCTTTTAACAAAAAACTGTACCCTTATTAAAAGAGTAGTCCTTGAGCCCTAATTAAGTGAATTTACTGCAGTTGTGATGGTGCCATGTCTACTGCAGGCAGGAGGAAGTTTCCTTGGTCTTCTCTTCCTCAGTGATCAGACTGCAAAGTTGTGACTTTGTAGCAAGTCATAAGGTGAGCAGTTTTAGCAGTTGTTGGCTTGTGTCAGATATTTTTGAACACTTCACCATAGCAGGGGAGTTATCTGTTTAGTGAGTGGCAAGATAGTGTATTCTCAGGCAAATTTGCTGCTGTACTGGCTACAATCAACATGGTAGGGGGGGGGGGGGGGGGGGGTAGATGTGACAGCTAAACAGACTACGGGAGATACAGGCATGCCATACATCAGTAGAGCGTCCTGTATCTCTAAAACAGATTCACTGATAAACGTGGACCATGCCAACAGAGACCTGCATCTGTGACCAGCACAGTCAGACTGCAACAGCAAACAGTGGCTGGCAGGATCACCGGGTATTTTGAGCAAATTAATAAAGAGAACGTTTTCAAACATCTACAGTACATGAAGGTACAGATTCATACATGAAATAAACTTGGGGGTAACTTACACTTTTTAAACTTAACCCCCAAACCTACCAATTTCTAAAATCCAAGTAGTAAATACTGCTTAAACTGCTTCACTATGTAACATTGTGATTTTTTTTTTTTTTGTTTTCATTAGATTTCTACTCCGTGGACTCTCCCTTACCCCCCGTGTTCTGCACCCCTGGACTAAAGGTTCACAAGAAAGCAGACAAGAAAGAGATTTGTGATTCAAACCAACCTGAAAGTATAGGAGGGTTTGTGTTCATTGTTAAATCATTGTTGCCATATGACAGTATGAAAAGGAGTCATTTGGTGTCCCTGATAATTGGCAATATAAAAATCTTTGTGCATCCTTCCTTAAACTGATATAATGACAGTGGTTAGCACCAAAATGGGTGGGTCCCAAACAGAATCCTCCATTTATTTGTTTCTCTAACACTTGTTAATCTGTAATATAATGGCTATGCTTGTGTATTACACTGAGAATTTTTTTTTTCTTTTAGTGGGAGGGACAGTTCTAAAGAATGTATCTCTTCAAAAGCTGTACATTCATTCCAAGCACTGGAGAGAGGTATGGTCCTATCCATGCACTTCATGTTATTATAATAAGTAGTATCTATAGCATAGTTATGGTGTCTTATGGAACCTCATTGAATGTTCAATATATTTTGGAATATTGTCTCTGTTTACATTTTCTTGTATGTTTGTACTCTGAAAGGTGTATGAATTAAAGAGTTGTTTGACCATAAATGAGTAATTTTGGCAGCTGTATATCCATTCTGGAAGGCCATGTACAGATGTGTATGGTGTGTTTACTGCGTGGCATGCATTGTAGACCGTGAATAAACCATAGCACAATTGTAGTCGCGGGCACGCACAGGTGCTCAGTACTAGTATGTACTAGTAAGTCCTACCACAACAATAAGGGGGCAAAGTGGCCGTTTAGGTTTTGTCCTTTCAAGAGGAACTGAACTCTGCCTGCCTTTGTTCTGGAACAGTGTCCAGAGGGCAAACGATTAGTCATCAATATGGCCTTGGCTGATCTTTCCCCCATTAGTGCTCATTCACACTATTTACAGTGACTGGTGTTTTTCTGTACTAGATCAATGCCAGTCAACACAAGGGCACATAGAAAGCAACATTTTTTATGTGCCCTGTTCACACTGCAACACTGCTTTCAGGTGGGTTGGACTGCGTTGTGGAAAATCACACACATACTGCATTTTTCTGCAACATTGAAGCTCTCCTCAAGTCACCATCCGTTCTTGCACTGCATGAAATGTCAGTTTCACATTTTCCAGAAAAATGTTTAAAATTAGGTTAACTAGTACTTTGCATTGTAAAAACACAAGGCACCGCCGCCACATAACAGACACTAGCCCACTAGGTAAAACAGATAATTTTAGGTTATGGTCTTATGTGATCGAGTCCTTATGCACTTACCAAGCCTTGTTCTTGTATGGAGGCAGCCATCTTGGTAGCATTAGGGTTTTGGGTTTTGCTTCCTCGTGTTACAGCCCTCAGCAAGGAGAACAATGGGAAACACTGGGTACTTGGGCATAAATACGATTTCTAAATGGTCCTCTAATATAACAAATCTTCACTTTGTAAATCCAAGTCTACTTTAAATTGGGCTAGCTGTTCTTTAAATCTACTTTGTAGAAAAGCTATATAACCACTGTGGTGATTTCTGAGCCTTGTAACTGTTCATAATAAAGGTGTTGTGTCTTCAGATATGAACAGTGTGAATTCTCCTCAAGCCCCTACGTTCTGTACACCTGGTCTGAAGGTCCAAAAGAAAGAACTACGCGATGCTGTTGCGAAACCTGTAGAGGATAAAGAGGAGACTGTAAATAAGAGTCTGGACACTCCACCAATCCCTAGCTTTGAGACACGATGGCTGAAGAATGACACAGTAAGTGTCTAAAACCGATAACATACCATTGTATGTGATCTCTTCATTACCAGAAGCATGTGCTGCTGTTTTTTTCCAGGCAATGGCTCATTGGCCCACATCTCATAGTGTATGATACAAAAGTAAGCACAACATTTTTGACAATCTCTCACCTCAGTCTCCCTGAGATGGGATTTCAGTAGTCCTGTTCATGTCCTGTTATATTCTGGCATTAAACAGATGTATTTTCTTCATTCATTGAACACAAGTAGACCTTAGGTTCTTGATATGTTATAATGCCACCTGCAAGGAGTAGGACGCTAGGTACAAATAAAAGCCCAAAGGAGCAGCCTCTGCTGGTGGCCAAAACCCCTATATTTTACAAACTCAGTTTTTGGGGTTTTTTTGTGCCTAGCATAGAAGAGATTGGACCTAAATTTTTCAGGTTTTTTTTTTTTTTCGTGGTGTCCGCCCCTCTTTTGTCAACACTTTGGGACATCCCATTGGTTAAGATCTAGTGGTGTCCATCAATGAACAGTAGAAAAAATAGGATTTTTTACTCGCTGTAAAATAATTTTATCTAGCATACATCACAGGACAAAGAGCAGCCATGATGATCTTTACTTGATGGGTTATGCACCTCCTACAGGTGATTGGGCACCATCAAAAAAAATCAGGAAGCTCCCCCCAATATAAACCCTCCCTCACAGGAAGTGCCTCTGTTTTTGGGCCAGTGTCTGAAGGAGATGGTCACTGAGGTACAGTTGTCTGCATAAATGCTACCAGATGCTCAAATCTATTCAGTAGGGATCAAGAGAGTTGTAATATCCGGATCTGTACTTATAGTTATTACGTTTAAGTGGATGGTACCCGGATCATGCTACGATCGAAGAAGCCTGGACGCGTTGGTGGCCTGTAATGCAACCATTCTGCGTTGGACCCTGCATACAATGAACGCTGTGTAGTAGTAACTGACCAAGATGTTTCGGTTAAGGTGGTATACTGGTCCAGGGCAGTGGACCCTAAACAAGGGGAATTGAGTCCCTGAAGGTCTAGTTAGAGTCCAGCATAAGGATCTTGATCTTTTACAGACACAGAAAACTTAACTTTATTACCACTTTAAATTAATATAGAAAATGTTTTTGTGAGTACAGAAATCCTATTTTTTTTATGACATCAATTGAGGGACACTAAAATTTAGATTTTGATGTCCTTTACTGCTGCCTACAGCAGCATTAGACAAAAAAAAAGTGTAAGGTACCCCAGGATAACTCCTCCTTTACCCAGCATGCCTCCCTCAGGTTTTTTTTTTTGTTTTTTTACTGGTGTCTTGAGGCCCAGCCTATTTACTTTGCCACCACGCAGCTGCAACATGTCTGTATCTAGTCCTAAAATGGACAGTCTTCCTGACATTTTACATTTGTCAAATCATTGAATGTACTGAGAATTTTTATATGAAAATCGAATAGTGTATACCCAGATTTACAATTCAGTTATACTGGCTTTGTTACAAACCTCTAAATTTGTGTCCTCCATGGGTCTGATCTCCATACAAATGTCCAGAGGACTCTGATTTAAGGTGCTGGGACACAGATGCCATATCAAAATCCCCTGGTCTTTGAAAGACAGTGCCTCTTTGAACCTATACCTGCTGCAGCATAAGAGGTTCAAGGATGGGTTGGCTGAGCCTCACCCTTTCCTTTATCTACTTATGCAGTAGTTGCTGTCAAAGGCCTGGCTCGGACTGCTCACCTCATCCTGCATCAGAATAGGTAGTCTGGGGCTTCTACACTGGACAATTGGACAATACTGTGAGTTTGTCTCACCCACACTGTTCCCCTGTAGGAAAATTCCCTAAATGCCTGCCTATCTCAACAGGTAACCCATGGTTATGAGGGAGAAGCTCATGGTGTGGTGTGTGTGTTTTTTTTTTTCTTGTTGCTCCTTTGATCCTGCGTTGCAGGTGAAGGCCATTTGAGGAGGATCTGTGTCTGTGAAAAAGTAATTGGGTAACAAATAAACAAATAATGGCTAGGAAAAACAGACAGTGAAAATTGTAGTGTTCCCTTACATGGACAGTGAAGTGCCCCCCTAAATTGGTGTTCAGTCAAGATGGCCCTTTACTTCGGTGGTTAGTGAGAGAAGGACCACCGTACATTGGTGCTTGTTGAAAGAGGGGCACCATTACAATGGCTGAAATAGGCTGTGTTAGAAGGTCAAATTGCAGAAGGGCTGCAGGAAATCAAAACATCAGATAGTGACTGTACACACACACACACACACACGATATTAAAAGTCTACACACCCCTGTTAAAATGTCAGGTTTCTGTGATGTAAACAAAATTAGACAAAAATAAATAATTTCAGAACTTTTTCCACCTTTAATGTAACCTATAAACTGTACAACTCAGTTGAACAACAAACTGAAATCTTTTAGGTGGAGGGAAGTAAAAATAAAAATGTATGGTTGCATAAGTGTGCACACCCTTAAATTAATACTTTGTTGAAGCACCTTTTGATTTTATTCCAGCACTCAGTCTTTTTGGGTATGAGTCTATCAGCATGGCACATATTGACTTGGCAATATGTGCCTACTCTTCCTTGCAAAAACACTCCAAAATCTGTCACTGCTGCACCATAGTTTCTCTACTTGATGATGACTTGTCTTCACTGCGTTCCATGGTATATCTAATACGTTGGAAATTCTTTTGTACCCTTCTCCTGATCGATACATTTTAACAATGAGATCCCTGTGATGCTTTGGAAGTTCTCCGTGGACCATGGCTTTTGCTGTAGGATGCAACTAAGAAAATGTCAGGAAAGACCTAAAAGAACTGCTGAACTTTATTTGAGGTGATTTAGAGGCACTTTAAATGATGGCAGGTGTGTACTGAATCCTATTTAACATGATTTTTGAATGTGATTGCTTAATTCTGAACACAACTACATCCCCAGTTATAAGAGGGTGTACACACTTATGCAAGCACATTATTTTAGTTTTTTAGGTTTACCCCCCCCCATGAAAGATTTCAGTTTGTTGTCCAACGGGGTTGTACAGTTCATAGGTTACATTAGAAATGGAAAAAGTTCTGAAATTATTTATTTTTGTCTCATTTTTTACATCACAGAAACCTTACATTTTAACAGGGGTGTGTAGACTTTGTATCCCCCCCCCCCCCCCCCCCCCCCTCTCTCTCAAAAAAAAAATTGAGGTTCCCTCAATTTTTTTTTTAATCAGAGTATAGCATCAAGACAAACTCCTGGGATATTGATCTGGTTAGTTAAGTAGCAGAGGGAGTTGTCAATCAGTTGCAGCTGCTTTGGTGTTAATGAAATGAACAGGTGCACTAGATTGGGGGGCAGCAGTGAGATGACCCCCAATACAGGAATGCTTTTACAGGTGGAGGCCACTGACATTTTTTTCCCTACTCTTTTCTGTTTTTCACTAGTCTTGCATTTGTCTAGGGTCAGTGTCACTATTAGTAGCATGAGGCGATACCTGGACCCTAGAGGGTGCACAGGCAGTCCAACTCCTCCAGGATGGCACATCAATACGTGCCATTGCCAGAAGGTTTGCTGTGTCTCCCAGCACAGTCTCAAGAGCATGGAGGAGCTTCCAGGAGACGGGCAGTTACTCTAGGAGAGCAGGACAGGACCATGGAAGGTCCTTAACCCATCAGCAGGACCGTTATTTGCTTCTTTGTGCAAGGAGGAACAGGATGAGCACTGCCAGAGTCCTACAAAATTACCTCCAGCAGGCCACTGGTCTGAACATCTCTGACCAAACAATCAGAAACAGACTTCATGAGGGTGGCCTAAGGGCCCGACATCCTCTAGTGGACCCTGTGCTCACTGTCCGGCACTATAGAGCTCCATTGGCATTTGCCATTGAACATCAGAATTGGCAGGTCCGCCACTGGCACCCTGTACTTTTCACAGATGAGAGCAGGTTCACCATGAGCACATATGACAGACGTGAAAGGATCTGGGGAAGCCATGGAGAACTTTATGCTGCCTGTAATATCGTTAAACATGACCGTTTTGGTGGTGGGTCAGTGATGGTCTGGGGAGGCATATCCATGGAGGGACTCACAAACCTCTACAGGTTAGAGAATGGCACCCTGACTGCCATTAGGTACCCAGATGAAATCCTTGGACCCATTGTCAGATCCTATGCTGGTGCAGTGGGCCCTGGGTTCCTCCTGGTGCACGACAATGCCCGGCGTCATGTGGCGAGAGTATGCAGGCAGTTCTTGGAGGATGAAGGAATTGATACCATTGAATGAATGGCCCCCACGCTCGCCTGACCTAAATCCAATAGAACACCTCTGGGATATTATGTTTCTGTACATCTGACACTGCCAGGTTGCACCTCAGACTGTCCAGGAGCTCAGTGATGCCCTCATCCAGATCTGGGAGGAAATATTCCAGGACACCATCCCCATCCATCGTCTCATTAGGAGTATGCCCTAACGTTGTCTGGCATGCATACAAGCACGTGGGGGCCAAACAAACTACACCATTGTGAGTTGCTGCAATGAAATTTCAGCAAAATGGACTAGCCTGCTGCATCATTTTTTCACTTTGATTTTCGGGGTGCCTTTGAATTCAGTCCTCTATAGGTTGATAATTTTAATTTCCATTAATGATGGGGCATCCTTACATTCCTAACACATTGCCCAGTCCATATCAGTATAGGTATCCAGCATGATATTTTTCCCCATTGAGATCTGATGTGTTTTCAAAAGTGTTATTAAATTTTTTTGAGCAGTGTATATAATTGGATTCTTTTCTGCATACTTACCAGTGATGTACTCCAAGAAATGGATTTTACAGGTAAGTATGTAGAAATCCAGTTTTCTTTAGCGTACATCACAGGACACAGAGCAGGCTATTCATGACTGTGGGATGTCCCAAAGCAATAAGAAATTTGA